ACTCTTGCGGACGGCAGACGAGAAATGTGAACCTCGATGTGAACAACTCTGGGTTTCCTCAATACGAACTTGAAAATGAGAGAGGGAGACTTCAAAACTATTTGAAGTAATGAAAAATAGAATTACTGTACTGAAAAAATTATTAAAATATTCTGAAAGTAACTAAAATATTTAAAAAGTAATTGAAGTTTACTTAAAAGGTATTTAAAATACACAAAAAGTAATTAGAATACTGAAAAGGTAATGAAAATATTTTATAAATAATCGGAGATACTGAAGATACTGAAATGGTAATTTACAAATAATTAAAATAATGAAAAAATTCAGAAAAGTAATCATGTACGTAAAAACTCAGGGTGTACACATATTTAAAGAGTTGTTTGCCCCTCGGTATCTTATGATCAACATTACCTCACGAAAATCAGGAAACTACTAGCTCGACTGCTATAGGCATTGGGTCATTTTGTAAACTGATTGAAATTTTTTATTTGTTCATGAATCAAATAGGGTAGACCAGGGACAATTGTAACATTTTGACTTTGAACACTTGTTGTCGTAGGTAAATGTGCTCAGGACAAACCAATTCCACCTAGTTATCCTTCATTCAATTGATCACGAAGTGGATGTTTTCAAATTCGTCTGGGATGCACTGTAAAGCATCACAATGCAATTTTTCGAAAAATTTATCAATGATAAAACTCCTCCCAATTTTTTTTTCAAAATAATGTCTTGACAATGGGAGAGGGGACTGATAATGAATGGGCTTATATCACAAAAAATGTTTATTTCATAATTCGATAGAACTCACCCAAACTAGCTCTCCACCGCAAACCGTTTCTTGCTCTGAGCTCCCTACGGTCTATAAAAAATTATTGAAATCCCCGATTTTTCGGACCTCTGAAAACGAGGCGATGATGTGACGTCAAAACCCTAATACTGAAACAAGACTTTTCCAGACAGAGATGAATGAAACATGATTTATGACAGAGTGAATTAGCGCGAGATCACAGTTGAAAGAATTAATATATCAGTTGCCTCAGTCTTCGTCGGGCGTTTGGTATTTTCTTTCAACTATGGCGAGATGAGGTTTCTACGTCATAAGAGGGTCCGTTTTCCAAAAATAAAACATTCCAGTTAATTTTTCGATCGAATTAGGTCGTCAATCATTATTTATGTATAAAAGGATCATTATAAACATGGTTTGAGTTAAAAGTTCTACTAAGGTGTACACGCCCATTATCGGCATTCAGTTACTCCACCGTCACGATTTTTTCATGTAAATAATGAGTCTATGCGATGTTCAAAACCGTTGAATTTCAAAGCTCGTTTCAAAGCTCATTTCAAACGTACCATCATGGCCGCCATTTGGCGATACGTCGAATAAATGATGACGTCAATTTTTATGCTGTTTCGTTATTGGTCAGATAATCTTCCATTTCCACTAATGAAGCAAGGTTGTCAAGTCATCAATTATGATCAAGTTATCAAAAAGATGTCCTGTCGTTCAATAAAACATAATAGGAGGAAGCCGAGCCGAGCAACAAGCATGCCCAAATATTTCTTATACTCCATAACAAAATATCATGTGAATGTTGGAAACTTGGCAACATTGTGCTGGATGCTGAAAACTGACAAGACACCGCCCACCGTTCGTGCACCGTGTTGTTTCGAAAACCAGTTCGAATGTCCTCTAGTGTGGATTAATATAATAATTATTGTGTACACATGAGGGAATACTTTGAGACAATTGTTTTTTTTATTGCTGAGTAGGAATATTACCAATACATAATTGAGAAGTTAGGAATTATTGAATAACTGATATTTATGAAGTTCCCAATCGTATTTCGAAACATGGCAACTGTGCCTCTCCTGACGAAATCGTTGCGTCACTTTCTAATAGCGGTAAATCTCTAGCAGTTTGAAAATCACCGTGGGATAATTGATGATTTTAGCACCTTAAAATCGACCGAAAAGATCCAAAAATATATGAGATTGAAAGGTATTTGAGCGCTGATGCTACTTAAGAAATAAAATATATAGTCCATTCGCCTATTTCAATGCACTGGGAATTTTTTCAATGTGGGCATTGGAAGTCACACTGAAATGATAGATTCGAAACTTTTGGCTGTTTTTGGATATATTGTACATGCCGAACACAAATCTAGGATGTGCTGGTGCCTCGTGCTCTTATAAACTCGCTCGTTATACCTAAATGTATGATGCTTTTATATTTAGTACGCTTTTGAAGCAGGAACTGGCCACTTAAAATCATGAGCCACATTTAACTACAGAGGGAATACCGCAAAAACATTAACATGTATGCTGTTGTCATCATATTTAATGAAATTGGTAGACTAGAAGCCTCATTGAAGTGGAAATTGCTTTTTTTTCTTATTCTGACAGACAGGGTGTTTCCAAACTTGGGGCAAGAAATTAAATGGGTAATAGAAAACGACATGAAAGAAGAGGTACATTTTTGGAGAATATTAAAATTTTAAGTTTTGCAGCAACTTTTGAGAATCACTCCCTATATCAGAGGTTGACGGCCGAATACGAATGGGGTCAAGGACGTTTTTGTGTTGAATGATAGTTTTGCGAGTATTTCACCCAAATCGATCCCCAACTACCCTTGTAGAATCAGGTAGTTAATCTAGATGTTTCCGAACATTGTAAATCACGAGGTGAACCTAAAATACGGATCAGTTCGATGTTGATGCTCTGTAGACAGACGTGATGAACTTTTATTATTCATCCATAGTTTTTGCACGAAATACACAATGTTACTCCATCAGGAAAGAATAAATACCGCAACTTTTGTTTGTTCCGGTCAATGCTTTTTGTTCAAAATCCTAATGTTTCAAGGCTTCAAAAACATTTTAGTTTCATGTGGATATTTTGAGTTCTATCATTCATTTTTTGGAAATTTTCGATAGCTGTTAGTATTATTTGGCCATCCATGTGTCATGATGTGTTATCGAACGTCCCATCATATTAATTGCTTCAATTTTAGAAACATCCTGTATAAAGTTACACCTTTCGAAGCTGACTAAAAGTTTTCATTCGTTGCATAAAGTGGGGTATTCACCGAAATATTCACATAATGATCTATTGATATTTATATAGTTTTTATAAAATAAATGTAAAATGTAAGGTAATACTTATTGAATTTATGGAAAATTCAAACACATAGTTTTGAGTCGAGTTTTGAGTAGTTATACATAGTAGTTATACAACTGTTTTACCCGATTCTAAAAATTATCGCTGTCTGATAAGAAATGTTCGTATCAGTTTTCCACATACTATAGATAATGGTAATAGAATGGAATTCTTCATATTTGTTAATTGTGGCTCAATTTTAATGTACAAATAATATTTGCATGTCCATTTCTGAAATATATAGGAAATTTAATGGATTTCATCGCCTTCTACGAGCAATACTGGCAAAGCTTTATTAGAAAACCATAGAAACTAGATCCTGGAAATGTAAATACAAAAATATTGCCAGAACGTGAAATTTAAATTTTAAATTTCAAACCGAGCCTTGAACTAATAACAAGATGAACAGATGAACTGTACCTACCTAATTTAGAAGTAGTAGTGGTAGTAGTAGTATATGTACTTCGTTGGTATCGACCTCACAAGAGGTTCTTCAGCCCATGTGTGTTCTGTGTAGGATTTGCTACTAACTCCATATGCCACTGTTAATTGGGACGCAACAGCGAATCGTGCGGAATCATCTCCGCTGCTGAGGCTACCAAAAGTAGAATTTATAACTCGTTATCAAAATTGAAAATTCTCTGTTTCATTAGGGATTCGAACCTAGCAACCTTTCGATGTTCTGGTTATTAGTCGAGCGTACCTAATTTATTTTTAGTAAAATCTTATAATTCGATGGTCAAATTTTCAATTCTGATTCCCTGCATTAGTTGAAATGTTTTCCAAAAGACATCCCTAATTTTGCACCCTATTTCCGGAACTGTTTTCCGGGTTTTATAATGATGATAATCATAATAATAATAATAATGATTAACGTCTGTATTACTCACAACACACGAGGAAAAAAGTGGAGAAAAATTTTTTTGCCGTGAAAGCCGTTCGATCGACAACCACTGAAAAGCAGGACCGAATTAGATAGGTGCCCAAATCAAATCATAATACACAAACACATATTTAACAGTCTAACTAGTGTTTTGCACGTCGGTTGAAGAAAAAAAAAGATCTTGAGTTTCTCAACGAATAACTCGATAGGTATATTCTACGCATGTAGAAAACCGAGTGGAGAAAATCCAACTGCGAATCCAGTCAGCTGCTTATGATCTATAAGGCACAGATCCAACCTGTCTTGGAATGCTGTTTCCATATTTGGAGTGCAGCACCCAAACATACCCCAAAACTGTTGGATTCTGTCCAAAAAAGGACAATTCGTCTCGTGGATGATGCCTCGCTCACAAACTCACTCACTTCTCTGGAACACCGTAGACAAGTTGGCGATTTTCTAGATATTTTCATGGATGATGCTCTTCTGAAATATCAACAATTATTGTTGCTCCCTTGGCAGTCCCCGCGAGATTAACCCGTCGAGTTGAGGCTTCGCACCCCTTCGTGGTCATTGTAGAGATCTGCAGAACATCTCTTTCCAAAGACTCGTTCATCCAACGAACAGCGAGGCTCTGGAACACATTGCCAAGGGAACAATTGTTGAAGCAAGAAAGGAATGAAATGAAGTGTGAAGTGAATCACCCTGTATATTGAAATCGAGAACACGCATTGATTCTCAAAACAATTATTATTTCTGCAAATACTAGTATAGGCGTTGAAGGTTGACGTCATATTATGTCAGCCGTGTTGTTTTAATCTCTTATAGGCAGTCGTAGGCAAACATATATTAAAGAAATGAAGTATGAACGGCACGAAGTTGGGAGTTGGAATCAATCCTAAAATAAATATATCAACTTTATCAAATGTTGTGCTTATTTTTACATAACATTTTATTGTTTCAGGCGCCGGGGAATCCGGGAAGAGCACCATAGTCAAACAAATGAAGTAAGTACAGTTCCCTCTTCCATTGAAATGAATATTTTCAATTTATACCATAATACTTATATAAATACGAGAAGCTCAAAGTCATCTACACCATGTTCATGAAATGAACAACAATGGTAGATTTCGGGAGTAAAACTACTACTTTCTTGGCTGATGCCACGCAGAAGATTGAATTACATCCTTCCGAAATCTATGCATCGACTCTAAACGAATACTGATACAAGTGATTCATTCCTGAATACCTATTGACGAGCCTATTGATTTCGATTTAGCCAGGCCACGCTAGACACCTACAGGCCGGTTTCGAGTTCTTTGACTCTTATCAGTGCAGGACAGTCTCCAGCCAGCTGTCCTAAGACCGCCGACTAAGCGTAGCCTAGCCAAACAAAAATCAAGTCGGCATTATATTCCCTCAGAGGCGACCTCCATAGACGATATGAGAGCAACGCCATCTGAGTAGGAAAGAAGGAAAGACACCCGAGTGTATCTTTCTGTATCAATAGGCATTCAGGAAAGAATCACTTGCAGTGCAGCTGTATTCGTCTTTACGACTAGTTGCATATGGATATCGGGAGGATGTAATTCAATGTTCTGCGGGGTATTTTCCAGGAAAGTAATTGTTTTTCTCCAGAAATCTACCTTGTTTTTTATTTTATGAACATTGTGTGGAAATGCCTTTGAGCTTATTGTATTTATTTAACATTTAGTTCATAATACTTATGTTCCCTTCTGAAATTAAACCTTCTTCACTAAGTTTTGCCATTAACCGAAGAGAAGATTAAAACAGATGCATGCATTGATAGAAACTTTTCACTTCGAAGTCAAGTGAGGAATTCGGAAACATAGTTTTTCGTTGATATTCAAATCATTAAAATTGTCTACTTCATTATTCAATAAATAACAGTAAATTTTGTGCCATCGAATATCTGGATGGACAAAAATAACTGATGCTGATAGGTTAGAGTAGAGGTAAATGCATAACTGCCAGATATCTGTTTATAAATGGGTAGGTAAATATTTATACAAGATAAATTCTATGTACATCAAGCCATAACTGATATAAATCTATAGTTGCTGCTTTATTACATGCGGTGGCTGATCGGTATATTTTAAATGATACGGAAAATCATGACTCATGATTCAGTTAATTGATTTTATCGGGATTGAAAACGATAATTTGTTTGAAGTGCAAATTTGAAAAGTCATTTCATCATTTGAAACTACTAACCCTATATATTTACTTCACTTCACTATCATATACCTGCATATACCATTTCTTCTTGAGACTTTTTTTCTCAAGATTATTCAAATTAAGTCAGTGTCGAGGTCAGATTCATGATTTATGATTTTAGATTACGTAATAATATTTTTTGTTTTGTTATGCTGTTTTAGGACTCACATATCTATAGTTGGTGTTGCAGAAGTATTATTAATACTTCCAGCAATGTCCTTTTTCATGAGCCAGTATAACAGGAAAAACCCAAATTAGTTCTCACTACACAATCGAAAATGTTCGAAAAGTTCGAGAAATATGTTTTTAAATTTATCCAATGGGAAAGTTTCCTTCGAATGAGTTTTCATAAAATAAGTTCGGAACTGCTCTCAGTTTTATGTCCACGCTGTACAGAATGGCGATAAATAAAGTCCAAGTCGTTTTATTTTCAAAATAACCCCAATAAACTTGGCAGAACCACTTCAATATTTCGGATTTGCAATAGTACTATAATTTGTTACTAATTTAGTACTAATTTATTATCATATTCGCAAATTTATTACTCTTCATTAATTAGAAAAAACCAACGGCTCTGCTAGCTTTATGTCAACCTAGCAGAACCATAGCTGAAAATTTAATATTTTGAAAATTTTAAATATACCATAATTCATAACTTTTTCATTACTAACTTATTACTATAATCACGAATTTTTTACTCATCATTTCAAGAAGAAAAACGACGATTTGTCTTTCTCGATCTCAACCCAGCAGAACCAAAACTCAAATCACTTGATTTTCGAAATTCTGTTGTATCATCGATAACTTACTAATTTATTAGCACAATCGCAAATTTCTAACACTTCATTCCACAGGAGAAACCAACGGCTCTGCTAGCTTGCTGGCTCTGCTAGCTTGCTGTCAACCTAGCAGAGCCATAGCTAAACAATTATTATTTAGAAAACTTCAAATATACCATAATTTATCACTATTTTAGTTATGACCATAATCACGAATTTTTTACTAATCATTTCATGGAAAGAAGAACGCCGATTTGTCTATCTCGATCTCACCAAGCAGAACCAAAACTCAAATCACATGTTTTTTGAAATTCTGTTGAATCGTCAATAAGTTAGTAATTCATTACTAAACTATTACCCACATACGCAAATTTCTCACACTCCATTTGACAGGAAGAATCAACGGCTCTGCTAGCTTAATTACTTATTGACGATTCAAGAGAATTTCAAAAAACATGTGATTTGAGTTTTGGTTCTGCTAGGTTGAGATCGAGATAGTCAAATCGTCGTTTTTTTCCTTGAAATGATGAATAAAAAATTCGTGATTATAGTTATAAATTATTAGTAAAATAGTAATAAATTATGGTATATTTGAAGTTTACAAAATAATGATTGTTTAGCTATGGCTCTGCTAGGTTGACAGCAAGCTAGCAGAGCCGTTGGTTTTCCCTGTTGAACAAAGTGTTAGAAATTTGCGAATGTGGTAATAAATTAGTAATAAATAAGTAACTTATCGTTGATACAACAGAATTTCAAAAAATATGTGATTTGAGTTTTGGTTCTGCTAGGTTGAGATCGAGATAGACAAATCATCGTTTTTTTCCTTGAAATGATGAGTAAAAAATTCGTGATTATAGTTATAAGTTAGTAATGAAATAGTTATAAATTATGGTATATTTAAATTTTTCAAAATATTAAATTTTCAGCTATGGTTCTGCTAGGTTAACATAAAGCTAGCAGAGCCGTTGGTTCTTCCTGTTCAATGAAGAGTAATTAATTTGCGAATATGATAATAAATTAGTACTAAATTAGTAACAAATTATAGTACTATTGAAAATCCAAAATATTGAAGTGGTTCTGCTAAGTTTATTGGGGTTTCAAAATAAATCAATTTTTTATTTTAGGCGCTGAAAACTGTGACGTATACATTCTGAATCTAGTCTGAGTATAGCTGATGATGATGAATGGCGAATGGCTAACGAATGAAAAACGAATAAAAAAAATAGAAGAAGAAGACAACTTGTCGTTATTGATTGTATCATGAAAAATAACCAACTTCTTGAACTATATTATGATAGAGCTCGCTGCTCCAAATATTGTTTTTCTCGACTTATATTCTAATGTTTATGTATTTGTTATCCCAAATGTTTGATCATGTTTTCTTTTCAACCTATATAGGCTTTGTCAATGAGAATCACCTTTCTTTCGACAATAAAGCAAATTTTGATTTGATTTGATTTGATTTAACAAAACAACTTTAAACTGTAGACCGGCTAACGAATAACTGGAAATCAAAAATCGAGTTAGTAAAACTGATAACAGAGACATACATAGCCACAAAATCGAATCAGTTCTCGAGGTATGCCTGTCAGTAATTTTTGTGGTGTGAGCGGGCTCAAAGTATCTGCTACTTTCCTAGAAATTAGATCCGTTGAAACGAATTCATTTGCAAAAAATTGACTGACAAGTTATGATCATCATTTTGTAACACAACGAGAAAGAAAAATTATAGATAAACCTATTTTAATGTATTCAAAGAACAATTTCCAGAAATCTGGACATATTGATGATGTTGGCAACGTTGTACCAACACAGGGAATCGTTTTTCATCTCTGTGTGAATGTGGCTTTTCAGAACGTACGTCATAGGAATGCTGAGGGAGACTAGTTCCTCTTTAATTTTTGTTTTCTGAAGGGAAATTGGATCTTACAAGAAAAAGAAAAATGCGTACCTTTTTATTACATTTTAACAAACATTACAGTGAGATAAAAACGTCAATATTGGTAACATCCCCATTATTGCTTGAAACTAATTGAGTAGATAGGTAGGTTTACCTTTCCGAACAGTCTGTTGCATGATCGAAGGTATACCCAGAGTCACTGGATGGTTTTAATTTATATAATACCATCCAGCTCGACATCCAGTGACTAGGTATACCTATATCGAGTATGAAATTGAATTTTAACCAACTCATACAGAGGACGTGGAAATATATTCTGAATTGGGAAAACCCAATCACGAACCTGCGATTAGAGGTCTATAAAAATCACTAGTTTCCATCGTTCAAGTTTGAACCCCCTGATTGGGTATGAAAGTATTGAAAAGGAATATTCTCAGATATATTAGGAACATGATTTTGAAAAACGTCCGATATTAGTAGTTATTTCGCAATTTGCCGCCATATATGTAGTGATCATTTGAAGAGGTGAGTCAAAATCTACAAAACTTTTTGTCATCTTTTGTATATCGTCACTGGAAAGGTAAAAGGTCTAAAGCGCCACCCCAAAGAAAAGTGCCCCTTTTTTCTGCATCAATCTGTCTATATAAGTTTCATAGCATTCTGCATTTATTTGGCACTTAAGTCACTATGAAATGGGTACCTATAATTAAAGTAGGTATCTGCTCAAACGACAAAAAAATTCACATTTTCCCACTATAGTGAAATTATATAATCACCTCCAATATCAAATAAACTACCATTAGTTATTTCAGTTTTCATTATTTTCTGCTATTTTTTTGGTTAATCCATCTGATAACTATGGTTTGCATGTTAGTCAATTTGCATGTATTAGTATTCAGAAGAATTATTGTGTCAACGCATTTTTAGTCATTTCAGCTTTATGAGATTTATGTGTTCCTAAAAGATGTGTTCCTGGAAGATAAAAATTGAATACGTCTTCCACTTGATTCTGTTATAGGAAAACCTGATTAGGATATATTTTATAATATTAGGTTTTTTTGCTTTCAAATTTGTTTGTTTGTTTCATCAGACATTTTACTCTGGTTACCACTGTAGATTGGTTTTATGAGTAAGAAGTTTTACCCTACTTATATTCAAGTTGTATCAACCTTTGAGCAACTGTGCTTTATACTAACAAAACTGTTTTTATCGTAATAGACATTTTACCTTTCAGTATGTAAGGACAGTAAGGAGTATAGGTACAATAATTTGACTTGAGCGCCAATTATCCATCGAATTGTTTGGTTTACGAGTAAATCATTTTCTAAAAGAATCAATATATCTAATGGTCAATTCAAACCTAATAATGATTAACTAGGCTATTAGTTATGATATTTTTTTCAAAATTCAAATGTTCAAAACGTTCTCCTGAAAACCTACCAGTACTTATGTCGCTTTGGACCTGTTACCTTTTCAGTGACGATATCATTTGAACCAAAATAGTTAGGAAGGTGAGCCACCACCCGGTATATATAAAAATACCCTGAGTTCGAATTAATGTCATAGGTATGTCTTAGTAAATATCGAGGTAAATATGCAACCTGCCGAATAAATGGGTATAGATCAGGAAAAGTCTGGATCGAGATTTGCGATTCGTGATCCTTATTTCTCAGCTCTAGAGACAATGGGGCGTAACTGTATGGCCTTCGACATCGCAGACGTACGTCCTAGATTGAACGGACTCGCCAGCGTGATCAATACTTGAAATATAGTACGGGAAATGTGTGACTAGAGTTATTAAGTCGGTATACGTATAGGGAATTACAACGGGAATTACTTCCAGAGAGAGAGAGAGAGAGAGAGAGAGAGAGAGAGAGAGAGAGAGAGAGAGAATGCAATGCCAATCATTTTTTAAATTCTTTGAGATCTTTGCTCTCCATTTCTGTAAATAGAAATAGTATTATTTCAATCTACAATGAGGTTGCAAGCTCGGTTGCGTGGGTTTGCTCAAAAATTAGTTATACGACCATCAACTTCATTTTTTTGAACGGAAATATCTATTTTTCAGACGACTTCCTATCAAAAATTGGGAGAGTTTAATAAATTGAGGTTTTTATCTCATTGTGAAGTTTGTAAAATATTATTATATACGTATTTTTTCTTTTTTTCACTTCAGAAAAAAATAAATAAACGAGGAACTTGGCTCCTCCACCATTCCTATGACTTACTTCCTGAAAATCCACATTCACACAGACTTGAAATACGATTTCCTGTGCCAGTACGACGTTGCCGACAGCATCGATATGTCTAGATTTCCGGAAATTGTTCTTTGAATGCCATAATAACTTTTTTTCTGTGACGGGAAAAAAGTTTGGCATTTCATCTGTGTTGGCCGAGGTGTTGGCAGGTTACAAAATGTCACTTTCCATAAATTACTTTTTTCCCGTGGAAAAAAAGTTAGTACTTTTCTCTCGGATATATCACTATTGATGGCTTTTTTTGTGCTATAGTTCCGAAAAATGAGTCAATAATACCGTCTCCGAGAAAGAACTGCAAGTCCTTTTATCTTCCATTCGACGTCGCGGTTACGTATATTACTAAACAAGCACTAAATTCGCAATTTTTTAAATCAAATCACAGAATTAGACTGACAGAAGTGACATCAGATATTTGATTACTTCAAAAGAATGATAAATATGCCTACAACGCATCAGGTGTCCCTAATGTTAAAAACTTGAAATTTCACGTCGATAATTTTCAGATTTTAAAATAATGTAATATCTTCTCAATATTGATTCGCCCTTTTTTCTGTCACAGAAAAAAATAGTGTTTTATACACGGTTTTTTGTCTCCCTCCGCTACGCGTCGGGAGACAACACAACCTGGAGCAAAAATCTACTACTTTTTTCCCTTGTATAATAACTATATCATAACAACAATGGGATAAAATAGGTTTTTCAATCCTACTTTGTCAAGTATTATGAATAATTCCCATAAATCTGTCATTGGTTGAATGAAGTTGATTACTTATAAAGATAAATTATGATATTTTGCGATAGTAACTATAATTTTTCACTATCGTTATATTACAATATGTTATTCATAACTTGTAAGTCATTTTTTTGCTGATGAATTCGTTCCTTAATAAAACGGATTTATTTTCTTGGAAAGTTGCAGATTATATCTTGCAACAGCGCCTGAAACTTCGAGTCCGTCCGCACCACTCAAAATACTGACATGCACAACAAGAGGAAGGACCCATGGGTGTCGGCTTCCTTCTGCTCTGACCGATGGCATTAAATTAGGAAGGATATTATCATTGAATGTAGCCTATAGTGAATCATTGATTCAATGGTATTTTCGTTTAGGATCGAGCTCTATTCGAGATATTTCAATGCATAAATAACAAAACCATAACCTGTCAGAATGAAGCCAACTATCCTCTGTATTCCTGCTCCGAGTGCATTTGTGGTTATGTATGTTTTTGTTTACCAGTTTTACTTCTTCTATTTTTTTTTTCAATCGGTTTTCATTCACGGTCAATAAGAAATGCAGTGAGAGAGTTTGGTTTCAGCTATTATTTTGTTCAACATACCTTAAGGAAATATAAATATAGGGATTTCAGAATTAGACCATGCCACAAACTCAATTATGATGATAATGAGAAGCGGATTGAATTTTGTCTTGTCATATCTGAAAGATTAAATTTAAGTAAGTATAAGTGTAAGTGTTTCAGCAAGATTTTTATTAACTGAAAAATAGCACTCCAAAATATCTCTTCTTTGTTCCAGTGGATATGGCATCGTGAAAAAAATGTCGAAATTTTGCGCACTTATGTCACTGAAATGTTGACCAAATGTCAATTCACTTATTCATCATCTCATTCTATTTCAACCATAGTTAACTTGGACCAAATATTAATATTTAATTTTGCTGATATTTCGTCAAGCACTCGATAGAATATATGAAAAGTATATATTTTCAAAATCAGGAAAGATAGCTCTTTCGAAATATGCGATAATATACAGGAGGTTCCATTTGAGAAAAAAAATTTTTTTTCACCTACCCTGTATATGAAATGATAAAATCAAGCAGAGAACACATTTTCCAGAAGGAAATGACATCTCATTCAAGTAACTTTTTCCAAATTTCAAATATCTTTTTTCGTTTTCGAGATATCAGCTGTTGAAGTCGAGAAATCCATAGTCAATCACCCTGTACGTCACAGTCTGCCGCCCCGAAAATTAGAAATTGCTTTAATTCGAAAATGAAAACGACTTGGACTTCATCGGTCGCCATTCTGGACATAAAACTGGAGAGTTCCGAACTTATTTTATAAAAATGCATCTGGAAGAAACTTTCCCAATGTTCACGAAATTTATCGGTTATGACCCCTACTCAACGATCAATTTGTCTATTAACGGTCAATTGTGGTATCTGGAATCTGCATTTATATCGAAAATATGGATTTCATCGAAGAATATTCCTATTTTTGTATTCTTCATCGAATTGTTACTGATTTATCATGAAAAACAGAACAAGAGATTGCTATACCTTATATTTTTTCTTTGCAGAATTATCCACGAAAGTGGATTCACTCCAGAAGACCACAAGCAATATCGGCCGGTAGTCTACAGCAATACCATACAGTCCTTGGTGGCCATTTTGCGGTCGATGCCAAATCTCGGAATCAGTTATGGAAACAACGAGAGAGAGGTGAGTTCCAAAATCAAATCGAAATCATCAACAATAACGATGATATTGAACAAAGAACCAGACCCTATAGCGAGAGAAAGACACTACGACATCATCAGTCGCTCTCGGTTCACTGGAAATTGGGACAGCTCAACGCTTCGAGTGTTTCTTCGGTGACTGTTTTTTTCAATTGGATAATGCTTTTTCTCAGAGCCGGACCGTGGGCGTGGCGAAGGAGGCATTTGCCACGGGCGCAAACGACCTAGGGGCGCAAAATGTGGAATATAGTATATTCCATTTTGAATAAAGATTGACAACAAGCTCTATATTTTAGAGTGGCGTATTTACCAGTTCACAAAGTTGAGTGACACGTAGCTAACGAACTCTAACATGATATACATGGCGCGAAACACGACAAAATCAATCTGGCACTACAGAACCAACTCAAGAACCAAAGATTGATTGTTGAGGATGGTGCAAAAATGATAAAAGGACTATCTGATTAAATTCATAATTATAGATCTGATTTCTTCGAGTCTCTATTAGAATCCTCCAAATCATTCGCTGAAACAATCAATATTGGAGCGAATTTTGGAGAGGAGAGGAAAGGTAAAATTGAAAAAATGCCAGGAGAAGAAACTAATGATGAGGCTTCCATTACGGATAGGAAAAGTCTTTTGAAAAAGGAACTCCTTAAGTATTGGACTCCATATCGATGCAACTTGGAGAAAGATTTACTGCGCTGTCAGAAGTTTCTGAAGACTTCAATTTTGAAAGGAATATCTATAGAAGAGTCTTCTTGAAGAAGAAAGCTGCGAATTTGGCATTGAAATATAGTTCCGATTTGGATCCGTATGAATTCGTCAGCGAATTAGAGAGCTTCAAATTTCAAGCATGTGCAATGTTTACGGACTTGGACAAAATGAATGCTCTTGATATTCTTCGGAAAATGCGTGAATTGTCGCTTCAAACAATATTATCCTAATCTGGACACAGCTCTCAGAATATTCTTAACGTAACCAGTGACCACAGCAACATGTGAACGGTCGTTTAGTAAATTGAAATCAGTGAAAACTTACTTAAGGTCCTCGATTGAGTTTTTGTTCATTACCTTTTAAGAAATATGGGAGATTATTGTTAATAAAAAAGTTCTTCAAAATAATATGTTCAATAAATGTCAATTATAAATAACATGTATTTATTGAAAACTGAATTTCTTCAAGGGCGCATTTTGGAAGTTTGCCACAGGCGCTAGAATCCTAGTTCCGGCTCTGCTTTTTCTAGTGCTTTTAGATTTTCCAAATTTCCATTGGCTTATAGATTCCACCTCAGATTTTATTTTAGTGACGTCATTATTTTTGTCGTTTCCACTTATTATTGTTTGGTTATTCAGAAATTCTATATTGACTGCAAATGAGCCTCTATTCTTTATTGTAATATTGGTTAGGTAAAAGTATGAACAAATTTATTCACGAAATAATTAAGTATCTGATGACAAAACAAATACCTACATAATATTTCATATTTCAATAGTACCTATTCAAAATAGCTTCAATGCTCCAAGTTGAATCTTAAAATTAATAGAATGAAACTGAAATCTTAAATCTTACCCACATTTCTACCTGGAACTTTGAACCAAACTTTACTGATGGCTGCGTTCTTATTTTGGTGATATTCTCACTGTCATATGTTTATTTATTTATTTAAATATTCATGGTCTAGTATACAATCACATGATCTGGTTTTCAGTTGTATTTGTGAATTCATTAACTAATTATTATTATTATAAAGGGTGTATCTAAATAACGCCGAAAAAATTGATACCTCGTGATATTCTAGGAAATAAAGTTCATATAAACATGTATCCTAACTTGCTTCGTTTTGGAGATACAGGGTGTTGAAGTTGGAAGTAACCCCCCTGTATAAGCTTCCATGGTGCCAAAATTCAGTATGGTTGGAGACTGAGAAAGCCCCAAAATTTCAAAATGATTGTAATAGGGGCTATTGAGTAATCTCCATGGAAGTCTTGAAAACACCTATATACATTAAATTTGGAGTCAAATCGAACAGAAGATAAAAATCACACAGAAGATGAAAAAGTTGTTATTACAATAGTTCAATCTAATAAAAATATGAAACTCATAAAAACCGATGGCTTAAAATGACATTCACCATAAATAATGATAATGATAAATTTACCCACTGGAAATATTATTCCGAATCTAATAGTACCAGAAGAAGCTCCATATTACTATTAACACAATCACAACGTTTTGTTGAAATTGATGAAAAAACAATTGAGTAATGAATGAAAACGAAGCAAGTTAGGACACATGTTCATATGAATTTTATTTCCTGAAATATCACATGGAATCACCGAGAATCACCCCTTGATTTTTTTCGGTGTTATTTAGATACACCCTGTATATAATAAGAATTATTTGATTGTTTATGTTACTCAATCAGAAGATTATGCATTCTTCTTCTCTTTTTTTTTCGTTTTCAGCTCGGGTTTGTGCTTGTTCGGATGTTCAATTACGAACTACGAAAAGAAAAATTTATACCAATATTCATACTGAAACTAGATTAATCCATTCTGGATTGCAAAAACATTAAGCTAATCAGTGCAAAACTAATTTGATGAAAATTCATCAGAGGTAAACAATTTCATTCCCAAAGATTCGCCCAACCTGTTGATGCAGGCTTTCAAATTACGATAGAATGCATTTGCAAATTGGATCAATTCACCTGTGGAATATAGAATAACGCCCCTTCAGCACACCTGGAACGCTGAAACAATATGGCATAACAAAAAAAATAACTCAACAGGAAATAATCGGAACGTTCTGTACTTTCATCGATTTTTTTCACGAATACTGTAAATTCACCTGTGGAATTAGTTTTGTACCGAGTTGTACAAACTAGTCGAATTTATGCCACAAACTTATTTTAAATATTGTTCTTTCGGTATACAGGGTGTCTCAAAATTCAACGACATTCTTTGAAAGGCTGATCGTCAAGCTCACGACTGACCAGAATATCACAATAATTAATTTGGACTTAGTAAAATATTGATAGTTTTGGAGATATTTCCACTTTCATGAATTCCATGAAAATCGAAACCTTTTTGATAAGGATTTTGATGCAGCAGGTACAAAACTGATTCTAATTTTTGTTATGCAACCTGTTATGATAACCCTTCTATTGAATACAATCCAAACGGTGCAATACCTATGAAGAAAAAAAACATGTTTGCCGATTGTCCAGTCAATTTATTTAATTTTTCACAACATTCACCTATTGAAAGGACGTTGGTAATTAACGAAAATGATTTAGACATTCTTCATGGATCATTAAACAGCTTTAGAACACTTGTCAGATATTTGTTTTGAAGGTTATTCAAATTTCTCGCATTTATGCGATACATTATAATATAGTGAATATTTTTCTATACGTCATTCACTATGAATACATGTATATTTATGTATATTTTTGTAATGGGGTTTTATCGAAAATCTATTCTAATATTATAAAGTTTGTTTGTTTGTTTTTTGTATTGAATAGGCTCGGACACACCTACTAAAGAAGGAACAACGCGTTTTTGCGCAATAAAAATATCTTGTGCGGAACTGGATAGACCCCAAAAGCAAATGCCGACAATAATATAAATTCAATAATTGTACCCTGTTGAGAAAGTTCTTCAGATTTCTGAATTGATATGAAAATGAGTTGAGTTTAGATTTCAATATTTCAGAGTTTTTTCGCCAATCAAGGCATTCGTCGATATAAAGCCCCAGATATTGTGATATTTTGGTTAGTCACCCCGTAAAGTATCTGATGTTTATGAAATCAGATCAATAGTATTTGTCTTGCTCTCAATTCAACATATTCCATTGTGATTCTATCTAGCTTGAAGCGTCTGATTTGATATATTCTTTAAGCGGTTCATAATGCAAAAACTTGTGTTCAATGGAATCATAAATCATGAATGACACCCAGATAGTGTCACGTATCGTGTGGGATAATAAAATAAAATTCTCCATTCACCAGGATAAGCTCTAAACGATACTAACAATAATTCCAAGAAATCATTATTCATTCGTTGTTTATCAATGACAATAAATGACACCTTCTTTGATTGTAGTGTTTGTTTGACCAGGAAAATTATTGAAACCAATCAATAACTTCGAGAAACAAGCACTAAAACCGTTTGATTATTGTATCTCACTTTCATAAACTGGTTTTAAAATAGAATTTTGTTCCCCATGCTTTTTACTCCGAGAATTATAATTCCCAGCATAATTCATAAGTAATTTCGTCAATATAATTTCGCTTAATTTAACATTAACCAGTTGCTGTTAGTGAACCACTAGACTGGTAACTGATTGACTTTTCCAATCATTCATTTTTGTTTGTAATATGAATAAGATCAATACCCACAGAATTTCTAAACCAAAGATGATGAGCTGAAAAATGTACCTGTGAAAAACTAAAAAGATTGTTTCCTTCTGTGACGTAAAAAAGGTTTGACATTCCATCTCTGTTGACAGGTTATCACATGTCACCTTCCATGCTTAATTTTTTTTTTCGTTTTATTTCAGATTGACGGCAAAATGGTATTCGACGTAATCCAACGGATGGAGGACACTGAACCCTTCTCTGAGGAACTCTTAGCAGCAATGAAAAGGTTATGGGTGGATTCGGGCGTACAAGAATGTTTCGGTCGTTCCAACGAGTACCAGCTCAACGACTCCGCCAAATAGTAATATTTTTCTCTTATCGTATAGCGAATTTGAAGACCTTTCAAATGAGGTGTCACTCGAACCCTTTGGGATCATGAAATTTGAAAGTTGATAGTGCCCCATTTTCATAGAATGAATTTCTATGTTCACTTTTATTTCTGTATAGAGACTTGAAACAGCTATATAATGAGATATCACATGACAACCTATGATTTGGAATCTAAAAGTTGATTTGGGGTATTTCCAAACAGTGCCAGCTCAACCACTACGCCAAATAGTAATATTTTTCTCTTATTGAATAGCAAATTTGAAGACCTCTCATATGAGGTGTCACTCGAACCCTTTGGGATCATGAAATTTGAAAGTTGATAGTGCCCCATTTTCATAAAATGAATTTCTATGTTCACTTTCATTTCTGTATAGAGACTTGAAACAGCTATATAATGAGATATCACACGACAACTCATGACTTGGAATTTAAAAGTTGATTCGAGTTATTTCCAAACAGTACCACCTCAACCACTACGCCAAATAGTAATATTTTTCTCTTATTGAATAGCAAATTTGATGACCTTTCAAATGAGGTGCAACTCGAACCCTTTGAGATCATTAAATTTGAAAATTGATAGTGCTCCATTTCAATAAAATGAATTTCTGTGTTGACTTTCATTTCTGTATAGAGACTTGAAACAGCTATATAATGAGACAACTTATGATTCGGAATTTGAAAGTTGATTTGGGGTCTCTCCAAACAGTACCAGCTCAACCAATACGCCAAAGAGTAATATTTTTCTCTTATCGAATAGCGGATTTGATGACCTTTCAAATGAGGTGTCACTCGACCCCTTTCGTATCACGTAATTTGGAGGTTGATAGTGCCCCATTTTTGTGAATTTCTCAGGTCACATTCATTTCTGTGTAGAGGCTATAATCTGCGATATCACATGACGCCTATCATGATTTAAAATTTGAAGAATTGTTTTTTTTTGTCTTTCTAGAGAGTACCAACTCAACGGCAACGCCAAAAAGTATATTTTTTTCTATCGAATAGAAATTTTGATGACCTCTCGAATGAGGTGTCACTCGACCCCTTTTGGATCATGAAATTCGAAAGTTGATAGTGCCTCATTTTCGTAAAATACTTGAGGTTCTATAGATCACTTTTATTTCTGTGTAGATATTCCTAATAGCTGTGTAATGAGGTATCACACGACATCTTTTATGATTTGGAATTTGAAAGTTGATTTTCTGGTCGTTCTGATGGGTACCAGATCAACGAGTCCACCAAATGATTATATGTGTTCTTTTCCGAGTAGAATATCAGATTACTTTTCATATGAGGTGTCACACGACCCCTTTTGGAACATGAAATCCAGGAGTTGATAGTGCCTCCACTGGGGTACTGAATTTTCTTCAGATCTTTGGCATCTTAAATTATTATTCCTGGTCAATAGAGCGTTAATCTATACCGAGATCTATACATTGAACCAACTATTTAATGTTTTTTGAAGTTTGACATTGCTTGCGCCCACAGTATCAACTTGATATTCATATGTGGCGAAGGGATTTCAAGTTCGATTTCCATAACTTGTGAGTACATACGTGCTTGCTGTTTTGTCAATTTGTCCTTCAGGAAAACTGGTGAATTCCCGTATATAATTCCCTGGAAAAGCAAACAGAGATATGGATCTAGTGTGCCGCCATATCTAGATAAATGAGTTCCATTGTTTTGGATTTTGTCAAACGGAAATTAATCTGTTGTAGAGAAATGGAGTTCATTATTGGGAAAATTAAAGTCTTGATTGGATTTCAGGGCGAATAATAAGTTGGAATTGATGTGATGAAAATTTGCGAAATAAACCTAGATAATATTGATTTATTTTTTTACCAAATCTTGTCAGAAAATATAATGATTTTTTTTTTTTTTTAGTTTCTTAGATGACTTAGATCGACTAGGTGCAAAAGACTATCAACCCACAGAACAAGACATCCTGAGGACTAGAGTGAAAACCACGGGTATTGTGGAAGTTCACTTCTCTTTCAAAAACCTCAATTTCAAGTGAGTATGAGTATGTTTCAGAGAGACAGAGATGTTATTAAAAATTGTGTTTTATTTTTTAGATTATTTGATGTTGGGGGCCAGAGGTCAGAAAGGAAAAAATGGATACACTGTTTTGAAGACGTGACAGCGATTATTTTTTGCGTAGCTATGAGCGAATACGATCAAGTCTTACATGAGGACGAGACGACGGTAGGAAAAATAATCAAAATGAAAAAAATAACGGCACTAAATGTCTTTCTGTTTTAGAACCGAATGCAAGAGAGTTTGAAACTGTTTGATTCCATCTGTAACAACAAATGGTTCACAGATACATCCATTATCCTCTTCCTCAACAAGAAAGATTTGTTTGAAGAGAAAATTAGAAAATCCCCTCTGACGATATGTTTCCCAGAATATGCAGGTACCTACCTAAATATTTTCAGCTCTACAGAAACCCACACTACACTGTTTTATTACTACTAACTAAATCGATCCTTCATGCCGCAATACGTGTTTCACTATCTATATTAGCATCTTCAGGAGGAGAATAGTGCTGTTCAAATCGAATACTTTTCCATAGAATTGGAGAACATTTTTTCATCAAACCTATGACTGTTCCCATATTTGAAGTGCAGCACCCAAACATACCCTGAAACTGTTGGATTCTGTCCAAAAAAATGGCAATTCGTCTCATGGGTGATGTCTCGCTCACAAACTCACTCACTTTTCTGGAACACCGAAGAAAAGTTGGCGATCTGGCTCTATTTTATAGATATTTCTATGGACGATGCTCTGCTGAAATATCAACAATTATTGTTCCTCCCTTGGCAGTCTAACGAATATTTGGAGCAGCGATTGTGGTGATTGAAGAAACTTCTCTGAGATAGAAGAAATAATCTTAAACTTGTGAACCTCACGATAAAAATGTCTTCTAAATGTCTTATACTTTCAAAAAGTTTCGTTTTTTGTCAATCTAATATAATTTTTTGATAACTGTCAACAGTCATTCCACGTCATTCTTTGTAGTGAGACGTAGGGTCCCTTGATGGAAATTGACGTTAAAGTCATCTTAACAGGGTACGGACTGATCATAGCTGCATTCTTTTTTAATGATCTACAGACTTTAGTTTTGTCTACTGGCATCCCTGACATTGCTGGCACGTCACATCCATGGGCGCTAATGAAAATCATTCAACATTTTGATGATGGCTATTTAGTTGTTGAAGATCATATGACGAACGAGTTTTGTAATTAGGATCCGATTCTATTCAAAATTGGAAAGTATTTGGGGTTTGCCGGGGCTGGAGATAATGATTGTTTAGTCAAACTTGGAAAATTCAAAATGACGGATCCAATATGACGAAGACATTAGTTTATATGATTATTACTCTACCACAAATAGAAAATATGTAGAAGTCAAGAGTGAAAATAACGAGACTATGAGTTAGTTATTCTGCGTATACCTTCTTCTTTGTTACTTTCATCAATCAATTGTTCGAACATGACTTTTTATTTAAGGGAGACGGAAAAATGTATAACATGGGGATTATATTCTATTCTTTATTTTCCTGCACATTTTACGTATTACTTTTTATCAGCCTACTTTTCGTCCTTGACGAAGTTTTATACATATTGTGAATTGTGATACTCCATAAATTCTTCTCCGAGTTGGATTTCCGAAAATATATTTAGCACACATATGGCATGAGTACAGTAGTTTAGGTTTCCACCATTTCTCAATCATAAGGCTCAGCTCATTCAGCTCATAGATAAACTACTGCTCAGCTTGAAATCAGAATTCATTCAGTCAATCCTAGTATACAGTCTAAGAACAGTCTCTTTTATTAAAATATATTGAGCTTTCACTACAATTTATATGTTCCCTACCTTACAAAGATTATGCTGGAGTAGTAAACTCTAATTCTAGGGGACTGTTCATCTATATCTTAGTATAGTTGAATCAGGAATTCCATATAGAAATTACGTATGATACGCCAGTGACCTCAATATAACCTAAAAAACAACGAATGTCAAAAATCTAGTGTTTATCCCCAGAATTGAATAAGTATGGAACTATATAACTGTTTCACAAACACTTTACAGTGAGAGACGAGGATCTGTCCGTACCCTGTTAAGATGACTTTAACGTCCATTTCCATCAGGGGACCCTAGTGAGACGTAGGGTCCCTTGATGCAAACTGACGTATTTGTCATCTAACAGGTTACGGACAGATCATAGCTCCTTTCTCTTTTAATCATCTAGTGACTTTGGTTTCGTGTATTGGCGTCCCTGACATGACATTGCTGTCACGTCACATTCATAGGCGTTAAAAGAGATCTTACAAAATTTCAATTTCATACTTGATCTTGATACGACATTATTCAATTCTGTTTTGGAAGGATGGTAAAATGTGCTGCGTTAGGCAGTATCAATCAGTTGAATGGCAAATTTGGATTTGTCAGCTTTCCATCAAATGCAAATGAACTTGGAACATGGAGAGTGAAGTGACCGAATGGGGAAATCAGCAAAATATTCGAGGTTAAACTAATACGAAATCACATATCATACTTTCACATTGTGCCTATAATTATCCACTCCACAAGTTTTTGATTGCATTTTAGTAGAAATAGTTTTGATTATATCGTAGGATTATAAGAAGAGGCATATGCCCTACCATTTAAAAAATTATACCTACATTCAGGAAATATTAAGAGTTCGTGAAAAACCGCAAAAATGATTCCCAACATGAATATATGCAACACACATGACATATAAGCACATTTGTTTAAATACCTATATAAAATGTTTTACCATTTCTCAACCATGAGGCTCAATCTGAAATAAAAATTCATTTATTGATAGGTACTGCCCCTAAAAACAGGCCCATTTGGTAAAGCGTATTTAACATTCAGAAAAATGTGCTCACTGCCTCACAAAGTTTATGCTGGAGTTGAAAATTCAAAAACTCGAAAATTATCATCATCATTTGGATATAATATGTAGAGTTGAATGAGAAATTACATGTGGAAATCACGTATGATACGCCAATGTCCTTAATATAACCTTAAAAACAACAAATCAGAAATTTAGTGTTTACCCCAGAAATGAATAAAGATGGAACTATATAACTGTTTCACAAACACTTTAGAGTGAGATGAGACGAGGATCTGTCCGTACCATGTTGAGATAATTTACATCAAGGGACCCAAGTGAGACGGAATGAATAGTAGCAACCGGAATCAGAAAAGTTGCGAATAAAACGACACATTGAAGTGATTCCGGTGGCGGAACCAGATAAATAATAGTATATTATGTAACAATTGTTATAAACGTCCTTTTAGTAACGAGTAGTTTAAGCACGAGCGGAGCAGAGCGGAGCGAGTGTTTAATAAACGAGTGTCTTGAAGAGTTTATAAACGCGTTACATACTATGATTCTTCTACGAACTCCGAAAATTACATTAACATACCTGCTAGTCCTGCTAACCTACAAAATAATTCGAAAGGAATGGGAATGTAGAACATAATACATGCAACTGAATGCAACCAGCGAGACACGCATAAGTGATATTGGTTGTAGATGTGCCCAGTTCATTGCTTACTAACCTTTGTTTCACGTTCATTGTCATGCTTAGAGCAGAATAAATAAATTGTTCTCAAAGATGGATGCTTCATTTTTACACTTCTTGGAGATATGCAAGTACCAGAACATTCTCTTCGATTTCACTTTCGTCTATACTTTTCGCATATATTTCTAATGAAGAAGTCTGATACAAAACGAATATTGTTTGAATGATTCTGATACAAAATTTGAAAATAACAGTTGACAGTTAATACAACTGACAGGCCAGACATGTCTCAAACTACTGAAGCTGTGTTTAATGAACTGTGTTGCCATGGTAATGTGTTTAAGAAATCTTGTTGCCATGGTAATGTGTTTAATATTTTGAATAAATCACAGATCGACAATTCGTGATTAATCGATCATTTAGCGTGGTACATATCCGTAGCTACGCTAAACGCCATTTTAGTTATGTGAGTAGAAAAACTCCATTATTGAGTTGTTTTTTCTTTATTAAATCAGGAGCTCAAGAGTACGGCGAGGCGGCTGCGTACATCCAGGCGCAGTTCGAGGCCAAAAACAAGTCGACCACGAAGGAGATCTACTGCCACATGACGTGCGCTACTGACACGCACAACATCCAGTTCGTCTTCGACGCCGTCACGGACGTCATCATAGCAAACAATTTGCGCAACTGCGGCCTCTACTGAACGAGGAGAAATGCGCCGAAAGCATTCTTTTCTTCGTTTTTTTTCACACTTCGAGGCGTCCTCGTAGAGGGATTTGGTCGGTGTTGCGCAGAGTCCAGTTTTTTTTCTTTGTTGGAAAATTTACTTTTTAATGTTTTCTTTGTGATCCGTTTTGGAAACTGCGCAGAAATGGAACCGTATGGATGATTCGTTTCTATAGTTACTTCTCATCTTCTCGCTTATTTTTGGAATAGATAAAAATTGGAACCCGAGTATTTCCCTACAGTGCTAAGTGCTACAATGAATTACTACAGTAGCAAGAGAATCGCTAAACATTCATACTTAGGGTGAAGACACACGGAGCGGTTTTCGCCGACTCGGCAGCCGAATGCATGAAGACACACGGGTTGTTGCTGATGCGACACTCAAAACAAATACAGTGTCCGAACGGTATGGAGTCTGATTCTGAGGAGGATTTCTTAACATTAGTGGACTAATTTCTGTCGTTCGGAGAAAAAAAGAAACAGGCGTGTGGGTACACCCAATTGTCGAGGAACGAACTGAGAAAAGTTTGATTTATACTTTATCGTATCTAATGATGAGATCGAAAGAGATGACGAAAACTCTTCAGTTTTGTATACGAATGTCAAAAGATTCGTTTTATGAACTTCTGACTTCTGAAAATGGATCGCATTATTTCTATTCTCACAGACAGTTTCTAATGCGTTGGAACCGACTTCAGCTGAGGCAAGAGCGACAAAAGAAATAACTTATCATCGTCTTCTGGAAGATTTTCAATTTCTCTTTTTTTTTTTCGAATCGAGCTGCGTTTCTGTCGAGTGCTATAATTAATTTTGCGACAACTAATAGGATTTTTGTTTTCTTCCAATTTGTGGAACCACTGTGACATTTTCCGTTTGTGAATTCTCACACTATGCCGATGTGGTATTTTGCAACGAATTAATTTTTCACAATCAATGAGAGCCATCATGGATCAGTCAACTTGACAACAATGTTTGTATTGCACCGCTCAAAAGCCGCTCCTCGTGTGTTCAATCGCACTTGACAAAACAGTCTGAGTAGCCGCTCAAAGCAATAAAAACGCGTTCGGCATATCATCCAGACGACCGTACGCGCAGCGACAGTTGCGTCTGTTTTATGCCATAAAGATGCGACAGCTCGTGTGCCGACTCGGCTGCCGAGTCGGCGAAAACCGCTCCGTGTGTCTTCACCCTTAGTACTCAGGGAACATTCAGATGAAAGTCGCCATCCAACACTGGTGCAAATCACTTGAGAATCATCAAAATCTCTGAAAATCAAATAGTGAGTTGAAGAGACAGATTCGTGAATCGTGACAAAACATTATTTTTGCTGGCGAAAAATCCCGAAAAGACTAAAAATTCCCTCATTACGACTGGAAATCACTGAAGAACTATAAAACATCTGAAAATCTTCGAAATCATTTTTTATCGCCATCAATCAGGTGAAATTTGATCACCAAAACTTAGTGATATAGATTCATAGACAAACATTATTGTTGCCGGCTATAAATCCGAAAAATACTAAAGATTCGCCGCTCAAATACTTAGTGATGCGAATTAGCAACACAAAATTAATAATAACTGACTGGAAATCGCTAAAGAACTACCCAAATCTCTAAAAATCCATTCACATAGTGATATGGATCTGTTGAACACAGTTTTTTTTATGACCAACAATCAGGTGAATATTTTGTCATAAACTTGAAACAAAAAGTCACATAGTCGTCTGAAAATTGTGGAACATTCAACTCTAGATTCATTTGAAATCCAAAAACTAAAAAGAATCGCTAAAATCAAAAATGTCTACAAAAAAATTCAGGGTCCTATTATGATGATAGCATTCTTAGTGAGGTGTATTAGAAGAATTTAAATTTTATAAGGCAAAATCGATATCTAAAGAAGAATTGAGCAACGAGAGACAAAAACTAAAAAGAATAGCTTGATTCAACAATTTCTCTAAAAAAAATTCAAGGTCATAGTATGATGACGACTTTCTTGGTTAGGTGGATTCGAAGATTTGAAATTTTATCAGACAAAATCGCTATAAATTCTTCCACACCATCACTTAGTGATAGTGGATTCTAGGAAAGAAGAATTTGTGGTTATATTCTCACTTGATAATGGGGATTTTTGTACAGGGTACGCCTCTTGAAATGTACCCCTCCCTTAGCTCTTTTTTTTTTCAGAGATATGAAAAAATTTTGGATGAAGAAGTTTTTTGAAACGGCCCAAACTTTTATTTCGTGAAATTGTTTAATATACAGGGTCATTACTCATACCGGAAAGGAAATGAACTTTGATTTTTTCAATGGAATACCCTATATATTTTCCGGTATGTCGATAGAGCCTTTTTTCTGATCTCAAAAATTATATGACTTGCATATTCGGATGAAAAATAGTTGAGTTGTATATAATAATGTAAGTTGAACATAGAGGGCATTGAAATGATGTTTATATATTGTTGAGGCTCTATGGGAATGTCATGATATTGTTTATTATGGAATTGAAATCGTTCAATCCCAATACAAAACAAATATGAATGGACAGTTTGAATGGCAGATGCGGTATTTTGGTAAACTTTGATCTGCAATAACTGAATTGTTTTCCATTCAAATATGCAATTCTCATATATTTTTGGAATCAGAAAAAATAGCTCTATCGACATGTCAGAAAATATATAGGGCGTTCCATTGAAAAAATCAAAGTTGATGTTCTTTCCGCAAAAACGAATCACCCTGTATATGAAGCAACTTCTTAAAATAAGAGTTTGGGCCGTTTCAAACATGTTTCAAACAACTTTTTTATTTAAAATTTTTCCACATCTCTGAAAACAAAAGAAATAAGGGGGATTCCAAGAGGTGCACCCTGTACAAAATATCATTTTCAGCCATATGAAAATCACTTCACCAGAAGGATTCGCTCAAAATCTGCTCACATCAATTTGAAATATTCATAGCTGAATGGAAATTATGATATGGTTATGAAAAAAATGTTTAATTGACTGATTTTCTCAGATATTTCAGATTTAATGTACAGGGTATCTCAAATTGGGCACTTTTGCGGGGTATCTTCCTTATCAGTAAAGATAAAGCATTGCGGTTTTCGCGACAGTGTGCTACTTTTTTATGAAATTAATAATGGCGCAAACCGAATTCTATTTGTCGAGATACAGGGTGGAATTCAAAAATAGCACTTTCCGGACACCCCGTGTCACAGTAATCTTTGAACTTATCGAAGAAGTTGAAACTTGTTCTTATAAGAGTTCCTCGTAGAATCTAGTGGTGCAGTTATTTTTTTTGCTAGCACCTTTTGTTTTTTAGTTATGGAGCAAACATATGGTTTTTTAAATGGAACACCCTGTATATTATTTCATATATTCATTAATCATAAAGTGGGCTTTCCAAAAACATATAATTGTGTACAATTATTTTCGAAAACAAGCTCAGAATCTCAGATTTTCAAAAAAAAAAATTGTTTAGGTAGATGGATATGGCTGAATTTTGAAACAAAAAAAGTTGCACACTGTCGCGAAAACCGCAATACTCTATCTTTACTGATGAGGGAGATACCCCGCAAAAGTGCCCAAATTGGGATAACCTGTACATTTATTTTCTGTTGAAAAACTATGCAATACAAAATTGTCTTACTATAATATTAACTTACTTTCATGATTATTATCTACTTGAAAAATATGTAAGAAGAAATCCGTTCGACATGGAAAATTAAGAATCATCCATACAGGATCTTCGATTTCAAAAATTCTTCCCTGTAGCTCCAATTTTGTAAATAGACGAACGGATAATTGGTATGATGTGGTTCTTGCATTGCAAAATAAGACTTATACTATATAAATCCAATTCCGAGGCAGAAACAATTCGAATTGCCTCCTTTTTTTTATGCAAAATAGAGCTATGGCAGGGAATAAAAACCGTTCATTTCGAATTAACAGAACTGTACCAAAGTTGAGTGAGACGTTCTTTATGTTTTTTTTTTGTTATGACATGGAAAAATGAATTGAATAATTATTAGATATGTAAACTGTAAAGAAATCAATAAGGAGCTTTGTGCTTGATAATATGATGAAGGATTTTATTACCAGAGTTCTCTCGACTAATTCGATGTTTTTTATCGAATAAATTCGAATAAATTAATGCACAATATTTTGGATAAGTCGCACAATTTCTGCCCAAAAAGTTTGTACAAATATCGGAAGACACAAGCTCTGTGGCCCGGAACAAAAACAAATTCCAGGATATAATCGACATTGTTAGAGCAATAATAAACCATCTAGTTCTCTTCAAACCAATAAAATTCATATACCAATTTCCTTAAACAAATACATTTCAGGGAAGACACTGCAAGGATATGACCAAAAAAAATCCACTAGTATTCTATGGATATTTATCTTGCAATTAGAGCTGAATTAATGGATAATTGCAAGATCAATGTTGCAATTCCTAATTTAATCTTGCAATACAATTTAATTAACAGATTATTTAAGCCTAAAGACCTAGCTGTCGATGCCTCAATCAAGAAAAAAAAATTAACAGATTAATGTTTCTATCAATTCAATTGCAATATTTACCTGTCTCTCAAGCTCTAATAGTATTCATCTTGCAATGATCCTAATTGCAATACTAAAGAAGTTAGCAAAGCCAATGACATATCTCATAATTTTAGGCTCATTTTAGGCTAATTTATTACCCCATTCCCGAATTTATTGCTCCTCTCTATCATAGAAAAATCTGTGACTTTGCTAGCTTCGGCCGAACTCGGCAAAGACATTTTTGAAAAACAATATTTTTTGGCGATCTTAATAGTGAAAATGTGTTCATTTTAGCCTAATTTATTACCCTATTCCAAATTTTCTTGCTCCTCTCTATCATAAAAAAATCTGTGGCTTTGCTAGCTTCGGCCGAACTCAGCAGAGCCATTTTTGAAAACATTTATTTCTCACCGATTTAATATACAGTGTGTCCC